CAGAAATCACTTTTTGATGTGCACTGCACCTGTCAAACTCTCTGCTTTGGCACGACACATATGCAGTTAGCGATGATGACGATGGCAGATTTACCTCTCCACAAAAATAGCTTCTGGTTTGTGGCTGACAATCATCGTCTTTAACGGCAGCAATGACAGCTGTCACGGCAGGTTTTACCCGCTTGTGGCAAGAAAGACAATTTAGCTTCATGAGTTGATTACAAAGTCTGTGGCTGACTCCTGATGTTTCCAGCAAAAACGCAAACTAGAAAAAGAGTCTGAAATCTGAATTTGTCGGATACTTTAATTATATCGTGCTAATAAAGGGAAGACAAAAACTAACACCTTTATCAACAGCTGATAATAGTGAACAACAATGTCCTGTTAATGCAGGAAGTAGTCCTAATATTTAAGTGTGATACAAAATATGTATGATCAGGATGTTATACTGTTTCATCAACAGACGCCTGATTAGCTTCCATACGCAGCATGTTTTCACTTTGAACAAGATCAAAAGTTAAAAAGAAATGGCCTACAGGTGTATTTGCTTTCTTAATGTTTTCTCCTTGAGAAATGAGAATGAGTTTGGCGAAGGTGTTTGGAGATTAAACTTAACCGAGTCATTAACAACAACCTAAAGTCTCACATTCAAATATAGACCATATAATTAAATTGACGGCAGAGACTCTTGCGGGGAGTGAAGCCAAAAGATTTAGAGCTCCCCCTGCTGACTGGCTGCGGAATAGGTCATAAACTCCGCCTCCTCCGCAATGCAAGTCTTATTAGAATTACTTTAACTTCTGTGTTAGTCTTCAATTGAATACATTTTTAATTTGCTCAGCTCTTACAACAAGCCCAGCAGCCTCAACATGTCTACTTTTCCAAAGCTGGACAGGCCTTAGTTACTACCACTACGATTGGCTGATTGCAGTTTGGGGGGGGGGGTTGAGAAAATAGTCAATTCCCACAATACTGCCTTTGTTGAGCACATGACAATGATTTTACTTTCAGAATACATCTGAGGAGAGGAGCTAAATTCTGTGTCCAAAGTAGGACTTTAGACATGAAAATGCTGGATCATCTTCTGGAGATCAGGGATAATCCAGTCAGAAAGCAATTACTGCAATCCTCCTGTGGATGCTGGATTTGCTGCTTGTTTTTGTGGCTCAAACGTTTGCACTGCCCGCTCCAAAACATAAAGAAAAGCACAAAAGGGATTGCTGATTTACTGAGCTGGGCGACTCTTCCTCCCCTATTCTCAGCGCTGTCACACACTTAATCATTGTAACACCCATGTGCAGGTAGAAATACGCTGTTCATTCTGTCCTATTTGTTGGAGAGTTGTCTATAAAAATGGACGTGTTTCCATTCCAGCAACATCTCAGCAGCTGTCGGAGATCATTTGTTTGATTCGCTGCAGGCTGTCATTCACTTACTCTTCCTGCCTGATGCTGAAGTTCACACACACAGAAACAAACACACACACCACCCAGTCCCCGTTTACAGGAGTCTGTGATGCACTTTCTTTTTATTATCCCGGGTTTTATTGATGTTTTGCCCTTTATTTCCTGCAAAGCTCTTTGTGACAGTCCAGTCTCTTTCTATAAATAAACCTGATTCAAACTGATGTAAACACACACTCGGAGCCTCAGGGGGAGGAGCCTGAGGCATCCCTGCTGATAAGAATGTGAGCAAATGCAGCATGTGATAGCCTTGAATCTATTTTTAGTAAATACATTCATTATATAGCTGAATATGAATCTGTAGAAAGTCAAACTAGACTGCTTGGACTTTGTGTGTGTCTGTGTGAGGGCGTGTCACTTACAAACTGGAAGCAGCTGCGGACAGAGGGCTCGATGTTGGAGCCGCCGAAGGAGGCGACCTCGCCGAGCTGCCGGGGGATCTGGATGGAGTCGTGGAGGAGCAGGCCAAGGCGGCGTTGGTCACAGAAACCTGTCGCGCTGGCAACCTGTCTGAACAAAACTGCAGGGAGGAGAGGAGAGGGAGGATGGGGGACAGGACAAAATATTCAGGACAAGGACGGTGCAAAGAGAGAATGATGGGTGTGGACAGACAGGGAGGTTTAGTTTGGTATTTTCCTGACCTTGAAGTTGCCTGTGCCTGTCTTTTTGCTTATATTTTGGGTGATTCATTTAAATGAGGCAGTGCAAAGAGCTGTTGGTGTTTTCGAGTGAACTAGCTTCAGCAAAACTGAACCATGATTGAAATTTGAAAAAATATGCATATGAATCTGCAACCCCTGCTTTCTCTAGGCAGGAACACATCTGATACATCTGGGCTCTATCAAAAGAAGCACACAGGAGGGTTTGGTTATAACTCAGTTTTCTGACACATGGCGTGAGAGACTTCTCCGCGGTTGATCTCATTAATCTGCTTCTTCGCTCATTTTCCAACTTTCAGCTTTAATGCATGGAAAAGTTTTCTTCAAATGCATTCCATTTCTGTATATCATTAATTAGCACATGACGGTAACATTAATTATGTGAGAAACAGCTGGATTGTGTCAGAAAAAAATGTAATTAATGCAGCAATACAAAGAGCTTCCACAAACTATGATTGTTCATATTATTTGTTTTGCACTAATTGTCTGTTAAAACACTCCCACACCATCTGCCTGCTGCTGAAAGTGCTGTGTGTTCACATCATGCAGTACCAAGACCAAGATATGATTTCATGGATACGTGTTGTTTTCATGCCACATTGTGATTGGCTGAGCGGTGTCAGAGGGACGGGAGCTCCGATGCTATTGGCTGGAGCGTGTGTTATCACAACCGCTCATTATAAAAGATCCTGCTCCATCCATCCGCTTCACACATTCACCAAACCAAACAGCAGGCGCTCGTGTGGGTCACTCACATCTGTATTTATCCTCTAGGTGAGCCTTGCAGAGTGAGATGATTCCAGTCTTGAATGACAGAGTTCGGATCTTCCCGGTGCGACCACTACCGAACAAGAAGGCAAGCTATTAGAGGACCTCAGCGATATAATGAGACGTGTGTGTGTGTGTGTGTGTGTGTGTGTGTGTGTGTGTGTCACGCTACACGTACGTGTCGTAGACGTTGAGCAGCCAGTTGAGGCACATGTCCACACACAGCGGGACGTTGACCAGGTGCGAGTGGCTCTGCTCCAGCCGCTGATACATGCTGGTCAGACAGGTGACCAGCTGGGAGATGTCCAGCAGCTGCTCGTTCTGCTTCAGGCCGTGCTGCTCGAACACCTCGCACGCCATCGGCATGCTCAGCAGGTCCACTGTCCACACAGAAAGAGAGAGAGAGAGAGGGGTGGTTAGTTAATACATAGCTGAGGAGAAAGCGTGTTCTGCTGCTGAGCTCACGCTGTCCTTCAAGCTGTGTTCAAACCCTCCGTGTTCAAAGTGTCCTTGGGCTCGGTGCTGTTCAAGGACGGAAGTGAGAAGACGACTTCACTCCAGGGATCAATAAAGAATCACATTATTCATCTTTATTATTCATTGAGTCCACTAAAGGACAGCCAGAGTGGGGTGAGAGGTGTGTTACTAGTGAGGAAAGTCCAAAACACTCAAATAATGCTGGCATGGTGAATAAGACAGCCGAAGGAAAAACTACATTTCAACTCAAAGGGATGATCTACAAACCTACAACTTCAGTTCACAGGATCAAGGAATGAAATCGGACATTGTTACTGGCAAAAAATATATGTTTGAGCTCTGATGAGAAGCTACCAGTTTGAAGTTTCAGACACTCTCTTCCTGTAAGTCTGCTTTCTTGTGAATTGTGTGAAACTGGCTGAGTATCTGCTTTTCCTGTTTTCTCCTCTCAAGAACGTACAACATGCTGCACAGCAGGAGACAGTCACACTCAAGACATGTCAATAAACATCAAAGAGAAGATATAAAGAGGTGAAAATGAAATAAATGATGTGGTAAAGAACAACAAGAACAGGTGTAATAACTAACTACAACGTAATATGTTAGCAAAGGGTTAAAGAGAAACAAAATAACAACCACAAAGTATTGGCCAACATTTATAAATAAACCCGTTCAATTTGTTTATTTTTAGAAAGCCTCCATAACATGAATAGCCCTCTTGTGCTATACACTCAGCAATACGCCTTTAAACATATCACGCATATAACAGCTTGTAGGCGGCTCACACTCCACAGACTCTCCGCTTAGACACACACACACACACACACACACACACACACACACACACACACACACACACACACACACACACACACACACACACACACACACACACACACACACACACACACACACACACACACACACACACACACAACACACACACACACACACACACACACACACACACACACACACACACACACACACACACACACACACACACACACACACACACACACACACACACACACACACACACACACACACACACACACACACACACACACACACACACACACAGAGAGAGAGAAGAAAAATAAGTAAGGATGCAAGAGAACAAGAGAAGATAAATAATGGAGGGAAAATAAGAAGAAGAAAAGACAAGAGTCTGAGGAAGAGAAAGAATGCAGGAGGAGTGTAGGAGGGCTGGAACACAATGAAAGAAACACTTTTGATAAGACATAAGTACACTTGAAGTGAGATTCCTTTGTGACACACATTCAGCAGAGGGAAATAAAGCTCATGTAAAGTGTATATAGACACTTCTGAAGTACTTACAGCAGAGAGCCTTCTGCAGACGTCTGAGCTTCATGGCTGTTCGGTACGCCGAGAATCGAACATTGTTCAGGTCGGCTGAACAAACAATGAGAACAAAGCAGTTTAATATTGTTCTGTTAACGGTGTAATGAAGTGACAGAACAGTCGAGCCTCCTAATGTCACATGACACATGGTGAGGATTCAATCTCCACAGAAAGAGAAAGAGAATCTTACCCAGAGACTGGTACAGCTCGGCCATCTTGGGATGATCCCAACATGTTGTCTGGGTCTGGTGGCTGGAGAGGGACAAAAAGAGACAGAATGGTCAGATAATGAGTTGGTCTTGATCACTAAAATAATTACCTTTGAGTTTCATCCATTGCAGAAAGTCATTTGAACCCAACAGGTTATTTTGTGTCTGAATGATCTTATAATAGCTTGACTGTAACACCAGTCCAAATTCTAACAGTACCTGTAATAAAAGCTACAAATATTATTAACCAATTATTTAGACACAATGGTGCTTGAAACTAGAGGCTAACGGGCTGATGCTATCATTTGTGCAATCACAACGCTAATTTTCTCATGTTTCAACTAATGTTGAGTAAACTCCAGATAACGGCCACACCTGGGTGCAGGTGAAGCTCATTGGTTAAACCTCGCGTCCCATGTACAAAGACTGTAGCCCTGGAAGCTGCAGCCTGGGATTCGACTCTCTCCCTCAGCCATTTGTTGCATGTCATTCCCCTCTCTCTCGTCCCTATTCCCAACTCTAGCCATTATCCTGTCCTTTTAATAAAAAGGCATGAAAAGCCAAAAAAAAAATCATCTTTAAAAATGGCCACACTGATTTCAACCCAATTTTGGGTATGGTAGTTTTTCAGCTTGGGGCCTACAACAGAAATGATGAGAGATTATTCATTATTAATGAATATGTTAAGTAGTTGTATGTTTCATTTTGTATATTTGCCATCATAATGTACAAGGAAGTCCTGTAAGAGGGCGGGGGTCCTCGTCAGAAGTTCTGCTCTGTGGGGGGTCCTCTGGAATCCCTTCTCTTGACTTCTATGTCAAACAAAACTTTCATCTATAATTTGAAGTCATGTTCCATTGTCACTTTAGATAAAGTCATCAGCTCACATTTTAAATCATAGTGGTGCTCTGAAACCTGTAGAAACCACATCATATCGATCACTGGTTTTGTCCAGTAAAAACCTAAGGATAAGGTTTTCATGGAGGGATGTGTAAAAGCCAGCGTATAAACTGCACACTCATAGCAGAGATTGTGCCGTCATAAATAACCAAAACGAGATTGAAAGTCCTTTTGGGTTCACTAAAATGAATCTCAGTCGCTCATGAATTAGATCAGCTTTCCCAAAATCCCACACTATGACATTAATCCTGTTGCTTGTGCGCTTCCCCCTCTCTGTCTCATAATCTTAGAAAATAACAACCCACTGTGGCACCGAAGCACACGGACTCCCATCCTCCCTGCATCACCGCCACGGAGAGGAAGAGAGAGGAATGAAGAAGAAGAAAAAAAAAAAAAGAGAGAGATGGATGGTTGCTGTGTCATTCTCCCCTCACACATTCTCCTCCTCGTGACTGCTGCTCGCCACTCACAGGGGACTCGCCCGTGTGGTTGTGTGTGTGTTGGAGGCGAACAGATCGACTGAAAAGGCAGTTTGTGTGAATGATTTAAGCTTCACAACTGCACTGACGATCGTGTATTTACAATACTCACTACAATGGTCTATTCCTGTTCGGGGTCTTGAACTCTTATTATTACTAAACCACACACAGAGGTTTGTCCTACACGTTGTGTGTGGATCCTGATCACGCTCTGCTCATGGGTCAGAACTAATTAGCCAAGTTGACTTGTTGTGACTCGGTGCAAAAAAAAAAAAAAAGAATTCTGCCAACATTTGACTTTCTGAAAGGACAAGCAGAACAATGAGGCTGTCAAAGGAAACATGCTGAACACATTCATGAGATGACACCTTTACGAAAGTAACAACACGTTTATTTTTCCCAGCATGAACTCTTTCATGAATACCTACTAACTTAATGATGATGCTCTCCATATTATTGATGATGATGATGGTAATGACGATGGTTTTTGTTTGATAACGACGACTTATAAGATGGTTTCTATACTGATTAGAGCTCTCAAGAACTGCAGTCAATGTTGTGCTTTGCCTCTGGTCACTTCCTGTCAGCACCTGTGTGTCCAATCAGACTCAAAGCTGATCGTTTGCTCTTACTGACATTGTTCCATTTTTTCTATATCCTTGCTTGTGTTGTACTTACTCTCTGATGTATTGTATGAATTGTAGAATTGTAGCATGCTTTAGTGACGCTACTTCACATGCATGAGGCAAAAATGAGCAGCTTCGCCCAAATCAGCCCCCGACTCTTCCTACCATCATTGTGCAGTTTACTGGAATGGGAACAGTATGTGCTGTGTCATCAATCCATAAAATAAAAGACATAATAAAGAAAGAGATTAAATGTCCACACATTACAAAGCCAGTAAGCTACTTTTCATACTGGTGCAGCGGGAAACCAGCACTCCTGATATTTTATAGATCATTTCAGAACATCAAGCGCCATAGATATGGTTAGACACATTTATTGTGTTGATCCCTCAAATGCAGTTATCCAACACCTGTGGAAAAGACAAACAGTGTAATGAAGATGGTCACTCAACTGGAAAGTAAGTGCTCAGTACGTGCATCACTGCTCCACACTCTGGAGAGTGATGATGTTTGTAGTAATCAATATAGCACAATGGATCTATAATGAATTGCTTGAGATCATTTCGGCAATATCTGTGGTAAAATGAGCCGATACCGATCAGCTGACCGATTCATGTGCAATAAACAAACAATGAGTGGGAGGTATACGTCCTGTTATTGTGAGTCGTTAAGTATAGATGCTGTTCAGATACAGTGAAACTTCACTGTTGCAATAGTTATTTTGCTTTAGTTATGTTGCTTATTTCCTGAAATATGGTGACAGTATTTCGCTGCGGTTGTTCTAAAGCCAACTCTCTCCACATGTCATCCAAACATTTCCTGTTTAATCCCCGCCAAGTGTCGTGATCTGAGCTCCAATTTGCATTTTGTGCAATCTTTAAACTCCCACTCTGAATTGAAATGGCATCTAGAAAACATTCAAACTCGACTTAAATGGCTGCAGAAACTAATTATGCTAACTGTAAAGTAAAGCGCCGATTTCCCTGCTCATTAGTTCCACTTAGCTGCTGTTTTAATAATTGTTGTGTGAACATGATAAGAGAAATTCTGGACGGCTTATTCCAGCTGCATTATTAACAAAGTGCTGAAGAAATAAGTGTCTGAAATAGTCTCTGCCACAATAAATAGGACTGTGAAGTGCTGTCAGATAGATGCTGCTGTATATGTGATGCTAATGTGCCAGCTGCCTGTTTACATAAAGCTAATGGAAGCCACATGTCTAACCAGCTAAGCAATTAGGTGTTTTTTGTTCAGAGCACATTAAATATTTGAAAAGTCCTTCACAGGAGACAGAACATTGAAATTTAAAGAAACTGAGCCTAGCGCGCTCCACTTTATATGTCTGATGGTTAATAAAGGCGTTTAGCTAGCTGCAATACAAAAGCTGAGTGGCTTCTTATTTAAGACAATGTGTCAATCAGGACAGCAGTGTCGCTCTGGCCATTAAGTTAAAAATAGGACAGTTAAATGGCCATTCAGAGCCAGTTAGAATGAAATATTAGAGCCATTTTGTCATTGACATGAGGGTGGAAATGAGCTGCAGAAAATCTTCAGTGAAGATTTGCAGGAGGGAAAACAAAACCCAGTTTCCCATATCTGCAGTCCAGGTGTGTATGATCAGGCTTATATACATGTGGACCGTCGGTGTGTTAGTGGGCGGCGAACACTGAACACAGTGGGTGTTGTGGAAGAGTGCAAATAAAGCGGTAACTTTATAGGGAACAAAACAAACAGCTAAAAAATAGCAGAGCTGTTTAAAATACAGTGCTGCTGAGCGATCCTTCACACACAGAGCACTCTCGTCTGTTTTATAATTCCAGCCAGAGGCGTGTTGGTGCACAAATGCAACCCTGCCCAGCTTGTTAAAAGCACACATGTCGAGTTGGTCACACATAAGCGCACCTGCAGTTAACCTTTGTCTGAAAGGCAGACAAATAATAATCCATATGCTGTTATTTCCCCCTGCATTGCCCTTGTTTTTCTCTCTCCTGCCTCTCTCCCACACTCCCACTCCTGATAATGAGGAGAAGGGTCCCATGGTGAAGAGCTACTTAAAAATCCTCTAAGCTCAGAGTCTGTGCAAACAGTAGCTCAGTCACTCAGCTCGGCGTCGGCTTGCTGCTCCGAGCCACTCGGACAAATGCTTCTAATAACCGTGCAGCATGAAACACGCAGCTGCTTTCATCCAAAGCGCTGCAGAGGCTCTGAGATGTGGGCTCCTGACTGAGAAGTGTTCTACTTCAGCTCACCGGTGTCCTTCAGCGGGACAGGTAACTTGCAGCTGTTTACATCAGCTGCTCAGAAGCAAACAGTAATAAGATGCATTTCTTTTCTCTCTTATAACTGAGGTGAGTCCCAGAGTCTCAAACCGGGGATCAAGAGCCAATCGATGAGTCGCAGTACAATACGTCATCCTGTGAAAGCAGAGGCTGATTTATTGAGCCGGGGGTCCTCCTGGACAAGAAAACAATAGATACTGTATTTGGTTTGTATGCTCTGTATTATCTAAAATTCCTTTGAACTCCCAGTGTATTCTGCTGCAGCCTGAAAATCTAAATGTTGAAATATCAGAGGTTCATTTCAGATCGACGCCAGAGTGAAGTCTGACGTTATCTTACATAACTGTATTGAAATTGACATAATGTTCTCTAAATGAGGTCCTTGGGGAGAAGTCTTAACCTTCAGTAAGTCTCAGACTTAATAAATCAACATAATTGATCCAGGATCTATATCACCACGCAGGCTTACACATAACACTTCAAACTATATTTGCACCTCACCAGTTTCATTGTAGAGTCTGATTTCAGAGACAAAGACTGGTGCTAGTACTGTCTGATGCTACTTCACATTAAACAAAGCATGACACAAAGAACTTTTTGGACTCACTGTACTTCATGTATAATACAAATACACATCAAGATAAAGAGGACGTGACTGTGGATTAAAACATGCTATGTTCTTGGACTATAGTGAATACAACACAGCTCCTGCTATCCTTATTGCATCAAACAGTATTGCTTTGGTTGTAGTACATTGAA